ATAACCTTGTACTAACATAACTTTCATTTAAATGACAGCAAAAGACGAACAGCTAGCTTACATTGCAAATTTCTGTATTTGTGAATATTTTCCACTGAAACAGCCCTCATGGGTTTAAAAGATAAAATAAAAAAGTACATACATAAAATTCTTATTTATCACAGTAGAAAAAAATTCATAATGGTTTAACTGATGAGGTCCATGGGGTCAAATACTGTTAATATTTCCTGTCTTACAACTGTTTTAACATTTTTATACATTACCAAGCTGTCATAGTAGTTGGTGGTTATTTAAAGTTTATTAACTGTCATCTATTGTAAACAAATATTTAACTCTAAATGATAAAATGATGTTACTATCCTCAAAGTAGGTCTAAAAAGTGAAGATAATCAAGAATTATATGAAAACAAGTTGGCTCCCTCTTTAATTTCTAAATAGTGGAAGAAATTTACTAATTTATCAAACAAAACTGGGAAAGTGAAAACAGTTATTTATAATTAGTTTGTTTCTAGTGGTAATTTATAAAACCTTGATTCACCAATGTGGGCTAATAATGGAGTAAGTGAACCAGGTAACATTTTCTATTATTTCAAGGATACAACAGATTAATGAATGTTTTAATTTTCTCAACTTACTCAGGTCATTTCTTGTTCCTAAAACTATCACAACACCATCCTGTCCTTTGACAGCTTTGTTGACATCATCTTTGTTTAATACATCTCCCTTGATGACTTTATTAGGCTTAACATCTGGTGGTAGTTTGGATGGGTCTCTCAAAAAGGCTGTAACTTCAAAGCCTAAGCAGACAGATATTTCTTCATTACACATTTTGTATATATTTATAATAGTTATCTATTATAAACAAACATTGTTAGGATACTATTTTTTTTCTTCACGATTTAAAAAAAAAGTTTAAACATCATTACTTTTTAAGAAATTTAAACTGACCAATATGACAGGAGACTTAGAAAATTATAGAGAAGATCAAGAAAGTTGGTAAAACAGGAAATGAGGACATCAAAAAGAATGTATGCGAATAGTTTGACTGAAAATGTAAAAATTAACAGTAAGGATTTTTTAAATACATTAAGTGTAAACAAAATGTTAGGATAGAAATAGGACCCTTGAGGGATGATAAAGGAAGGCTTAGTAACTGATGATTATGAGATGGCTGGGATATAAAATTTTACTTTTTCTTAGGTTTTTACTTATGAAAATGTAAGCAGTATTCCATGTCTTGAATAGTTGATAAATGGAATGGTGAACAAACAAGATGACTGCATTAATTATGAACTGGTTAAAAAAAAATGATAAAGCTCCTGGGCCAGATAATATTTCCCCAAGGGTTTTGGAGGAGGTTAAAGATTGGATATGTGAGCCACTTGCTACTATTTTTTGATAGTCCTTGAATAGTGGGCAGGTACCAGAGGATTGGAAGTTAGCTAATGTAACTCTTCTTTTCAAAGGAGGTGATAAAAAGTATCCCACTAATTATAGACTTATTAATCTTGCATCAGTTGTGAGAAAAATTTTCGAAAGTTGCTTTGCAAAGTCATTTAACAAAGCTTACAATTTTATTGGATAATCAACATGGCTTCACTAAGGGAAAATCTTGCCTTACAAAT